TTTATGCCAATTTTTTGCCATGCAGGACCAAAGCAATTTGTCACCGTGAAGCATAAGGGAGGCAAACAGAAAGCAGAGTCACTCGTCTTTAATGCTCTTTACCTTCTTTGTGGGTTTTGGTCGAATTCCACATCCCATCTTGACCAATTCCCCAATCTTTACTGAGGTAGGTGGGTTCCCCTGTTATAGAGAAATTTCAAGATGAATAGACTGTTTCAGAGACTCGAAAAGCCAGGTAGAAAGGCCATGCAATACAGACATTTTGTGAAAGAAGAAACTTCAAAAGAAATTTGAAGTTGTTTTGAAAGTGATCATTTGGGCTAGGAATCCTTTTATGGACAGATTTGTTAGCTAATGGAGACTTTTTTTTATGATATGTTGCAGTTTAAAACCTTGGTTTTCTTTATTGACATTGATATTTATTGTTTATTTGGTAAATGCTCTGTATACATTTCTGGCAATTCGTGGACCATAGGTTTCGCTTTGCTGGCTCTGGCAGCCGGTTTTTTTAATTAAAAAATCCCATGAATTAATTATACTGCTTATACCACTGAATACTATGCTCATCCTGATACTTAGAAATCAAATTCTTGCATGAAATGTAGCTTAAGGGGGTGCTGTTTGTTTTTGCACATACATCAATCCATCTATCTTCTGTAGCTGCTTATCTACAGTAGTACTGGGTTTTCGCAGATCCCAGAACCTCTCAGGAGGTACAGGGTTTGAGGCAGGAAGCACCATGGATGCGATGCTTGATACTCAAAATATAGCTCACTCTGTTGTAATTTCAGTACTGTAACGCTATTATTGTGGGGACCTTCTGCTGTATTTTCTGATTGAGTAGACATGCAGGTATGGTCCTGAGCATTACATCAGTGGTGGCCTTATCATCTGGTTCCAGTGACATTTAATAGCTTGCCCCAGGTAGCATGCGATGCACCATCTGCTTTTAGCCGTCCTGTCACAGTGGGTGTCTCTCCCTGGCGGGGGTGTCCATGGGAGACGTTTAAAACGGCATACGCAGAGTGGGGGCACGGCGCCGACGCTCCCCCAGCCCTCCCTCTGGTCTCCGCTCGCCGCTCCCCTCATCTAGCCTGTAAACGCGGGAGTCCGCTCTCAGGGGACGACCAGCTAGTGCGCGAGAGAGTCTGCTGGGCCCACGAAGCCCGTGGTGAAGGACCCTGTCTTTTCACTCCCGATTAGGGGCAAGTCGACCTAGCATTACAGCAAAGAGAGAACCAAGCATAGTCGTAGCGAAAGAAGGGCTGCGGAGAAGGAGACCAGTATGATGGAAACCTGTAAAACATATGTAATATTGCACTATTTAGATAGATAGATAGGTAGATAGGTAGACAGACAGACAGACAGACAGATAGATAGATAGACATAGGCAGATGGACAGACAGATAGAAAGACAGACAGATAGACAGGCAGACATAGACAGAGAGACAGAAATGGATGGATATATAGACACACAGCAGACAGACATAAATGGACGAATGGAAAGTCAGACAGACAGACAGACAGATACACTTTATTAATCTTGAAGGGTTTGAAATCAATTAATGTCCATGTTATCTGTGAATTAAAGTTACACTGTGAGATGTTCCTGTCTGTCCCTTCATTAATTAATCAGCAGCAGATGTGCAGGATGCTTCTGGTGGCTGCCAAAGCATCGGGAATCACGTTGGCGATCTGGACAGTTATGCCAGTGCCTGGATGTCAGCGATACGCCGCCCCGCCCGGTCTCCACACGCCTGGCTCCCTTCCTCGTCTTACCCAGCATCTTATCCAAAATGCTAATTTAATAGATTCCAGAATCGCCGCGCCTGTGGGTGACAGATCTCACTTGGAGAAAGACGCGAGGAAGGAAGACAGCGGAAAGGAGATTGCAGAAAGCAAGACTGATGGCTGTCCCAGTGGCACTTCTGTGGGTGACTGGGACGCAGCTGCCTGTCATTTACCCGCATAGAAATGAGGGGGTTTCCTTTGTGTGTGATGACAAGTTTTACATGCGGAAATTCACCCAATCATTTAAGATCGAGGCAGCTGTAGTTGGATGGCTCTACGTGTGTGGAGATTGCATGGTGTCATCGTGGGGTTTCCCCCACTTTCCAAAACATGCTACGGTGAACTGGAGTTACCAGGTGTGAATGGTGTGTGTGTTCCGTGATGGGTTGGTGTCCCATCCATCAGAGTAGCGGTGCATGTTGCGTTAAAGACTGTGGAATTTTGTGAGTGTCTGAATGTAAGTTGACTATGTAGCTGTAGGACTGATCCAGAGTTAAGGACTCACAGTTAACTGTGAACCTCTGGCTGTTATTGCTGTCTCCCTCTAATGGCCATTATTGGAATTGTTCTCCACAGGCTCAGTTGTTAGTTGCTGTGGAGGACGATGTTCTTGGAATGGGAGGCAGCTTGTTTGCAGGTGGTATGACATGCATTTTTCCCCGAAAGTAAATATACATTGTAGTTGTTCTTAGGGCCATCTGCTGCTAGTCTGAGGGTCCAGTGCTGAACATCACAGCGTCCGGTTTGTGTCCCTGGAAAGTCTAACTGCAAACCCAGATTCCAAGCACATTTGCTTGTTCCTGCTGCCAGAAAGTTTCCATTCGAGGTGACATTTGTATACCTGAATTTACATAAAGTTTCACACATGTAAATAATGTTCTTGCTGTTTTCTGCTGGTTTTGGTGTATGTTGCGTAACTTGAGGATATGATTACTTGATACACCCTTAGGTTCTGTACAGTACGGGCGTTATGTGGGCTTGTTTGTACCTGTTTTGTGCTACAGGGGCAGACATTTGGTAAAAAATTTCCTACTACTGCAGATTTTTCTTACAGACACTTAACTTTGAACGTAGGGCTAAAAACGCAAAAAGAAATATATTATTTAGGGTTTTAAATGATTTTTTTTTTCTGTAGGTGAATGTACATGGTACATATTTCTAAGTTAAATGAATATTCCAGTATTTGCTGTGGGTGCATTTTTAAACTTTAATGCTAAGCAGTCTGATTAACTTTTTGACATTTTTGGTAATCAGTAAATACAAAGTGGTCCTGTAGTACTGCTCAGGGACAGGGGGTGTTATTGCTATAGTGTCTTGTTGTGGCTTAACAGATGACAAGAAATGCAAGTCTGTGTGTTCATGATTAATGGCAGGATGGTAGCTCTCCAGGACCGGAGTTGGAGACCCCTGGTTTAAAGCATCCCGACACATGCAGATGTAAAAAAAAAAAACCAGGAGGATCAGACCGTAATGGCGCCAGGATCTGAGGACACTTGAGTCTTGGTAAAATTGAAAAATAGCTTGTAGTATGGTCTCTGCAGTGCTGAAGCAGTGTAGTATGGTCTCTGCAGTGTTGAAGCAGTGTAGTATGGTCTCTGCAGTGCTGAAGCAGTGTAGTATGGTCTCTGCAGTGCTGAAGCAGTGCTTTCAGAGGTGGTGCTGGAACAAACTTCTGTCTGTATTAAAGGGCCACCTTCCTCTTAACTTTCTCTTGCCGTGCCCCTCTGAATTGCTGTATAACATTTAACCTTAACATTTAACCCCTGACAAATACCTTCTGCTGGCCAGATTGAGCTGATTAAGGCTGTTTTCTGTTACCTTGTTTTCGCGAAAACATTCTTATCATAAATGTCTAGGCACTGGTTCCTGTTCCTTTCTGATTGAAAGTGTTGAGGAAGTCTATCCTGCAACTAAATCATGTGGTTAAAAAGCTGACTTTTTAGTTATTGTGACTTGTAGCAATTTATCCTCAGAAAACAGGTCAAAACCTCCTTTTGGTAAAACTGAATTCATGCATTGTCCCCACAGTAAGAAAGAATAATATTTAGTGGTGCGTTTGCAGTCTGTGATGTAAATATCTGCAGGCTGCTTCAGTGCATGTTACCGAGGATGTGTTTTGATGTGCACAGTGTTGGCGTATGGTTGCAGCTCGTTTAATCACAGATAAGGCAGCCTCCCATGCAAACCTTGTCACATGTTCCGAATCACATCAACTCATCGATGAAGATTCTATTATAGAATATGTCCTATATTATTATTATTAGCCAATATCCCAGGCCCTTACGGACTGAAACAGTGTTCACAATCCGGTCCTCTGGGACCCATAGACTGTCCATGTTTTTGCACAAAATTGTGGTCTGTCTGGCAGGGAGCTTGGAGGGAGCAAAAACATGGAGCGACTGTGGATCTCCATGGACTGGATTGGGAAAAACTGGACTGAAATGCTTATCTGGACTGATCAGCTCTGCAAAATCTTTTTCTGCAAAAAAAAACTGCGGGCTCCGTGTGTATTTCACCTGCACTAGTCAAGCATTTGTATCAGAGTCAGACACCGCACCATGCCAGTTAAATCACTGGGGTGAAGAATTTCATTCCAAACAATTTACCGATGGACTGGTTCTCCTTTGCTCTGATTCTAGCTGAGGTACACAGCGCATCCAGTAGATCTCTCTGAAGATTTGCCATGATGAGAGCAGTAGAGAAGATATATGTGAGAAGCTGCAGACATGAGATTATTTTCATGATCTTTGTACTACTGATAATCTCTTTACTTAGCAAACACTGATATTCTAGGTAGCACAGAAATGATGGATCCTCAAGCTTTGAAAAAGTCTGACTCTGTCTCCTTCAGAGTTATTCTATGTAGCCGAGAATTGATTTTAAAAGTAGATATACTGTACTTTGACTACATGGAAACAAATTCAAGAAATCATCACTTGGAATTCCTGTGATCTATCTATGAATTATAGAACCTTCCACATGTGCAAACTTTTTGAAAGAAAATTCCATGAACTTCTTTTATGGCTTTGGATCAGAGATTTTGGCAGATAATACGAGAGATCCCAAAAGTCACTGTACTTCCAGCCTCAGAACTTGTGCATTTGTATAGTTTGCTGGTGCCCAGTCTGCAAGTAACTGGGAAGTGTTCAAGTTGGACAGTGGAGTGCCGACTGGTATAACACCCCCCTCCCCCCGACTTCACTTGGCAGGTGAACCATCCAGACTTGCTTTGGAATACAGAAGTCAGCACAGTACTGTCCAGGTACACAAGATTGACGAACCCCAAAGGGCAACATGTTCATATTAGAAGAATGCACTCATCATATGAGGAGGATTCAAGATGGAGCAACGTCTCTGGCATTGTGAACGATGGCTTTGCAAACCACATTTACCTGTCATAATCCATACCCAACCTGACTGCTATGTAAATGGTCATAGTAACAGTTGTGATACGGCACTGTAGAATCGCACATGGTTTTCTTCATGCTCAAATAAGTCTCTTCCTTCTGCCTCTGTACTTGTGAATCATCAGCTTTCAAACAGCTGTCAAGCTAATACTCGATCTGTTCATTCGAAAATTTAACCAGGTGAAACACATTTCCATTGGCATAGCTAGCAGATAATATTGTACATGATTATCCTGTGAGATCCCTTTTATAAATCAATTATAAACCATTTCTGTACATGGTGATGACAGCAGTGCAAATATGTATTCATAAGGTTATGATCTTCACAGGGTGCACTGCTAAATGATACCAATAGAGGGCACCGTTTACTAAGAATTTTAGCAGGAGCTGTAACCTGGGACATGCTGTGGATCATTCAATATGAGGAGATCCAGTGTGATAAATTTCCCTGTTAAGTTTTATGTGTGTGTGTGTGTGTGTGTGTTTGCATAGATCACATTTCAGGACCACATTGTCCCCAAAGTGTAGTAAAACCTGAAAGGTCCCTACTTTTGGGGACATCTTTTGAGGTCCCCATTTGGATATTCTCAGTTTTATAAAAATCTGTGAATGCAATCAAAAAAGTAAAAATGTCAAAAGTCTTGTATTTGGGTTGGTTACTTATGGTTACGGTTAGGGATGGGTAGAGGTTAAGGGTGTCGTGATTGGGATTAGGGATTTTCCCATAGAAATGAATGGACGGTCCCCATTTAGATAGGAAGACCAACTTGTGTGTGTGTGTGTGTGTGTGTGTGTGTGTGTGTGATCATCACACTGTTTGTGAAACTGTGTTATGATCGTCTTAGAAGATGCATGGGAATCTTCATGAGAACTGCCATGAATTGATGGTTGAGGGTCATCACATGAGAGACCCCATCACAATGAGGAAGATTACAATGTCTGAATTCAAATAATTTTGTGCATTTGCTGTCACCAACCTTTACTAACTTCATAAATACTGTCAGCCAGTGACAGCGAGTTGTGTGTCTAGAGCTGCACTGCAGTATAGTTTTGGACCACATGGTACCCAAGAAGTCTTTTAATTAATCACAGACGAACCCGTCAGGACACTTTACACTTCTCTGCGAGTCAGACAAGGCCCAGATATCTCTAAGTCTACAACAGACCTATTAGGTTCGAAGGTCCTGGGGTCTCAGGAACTCTCTGTTCAAATGAAGGTCTTTTTTTGATCTGTGGCAGAGGGTACTGAAGTGTGTCATGCTGCAGACCCATAACCCCGAGGTCATTTCCTGTTACAGTAGGTGCCTTCCTAGGTGCCTGATCCAAATTTCTCCTGTGAAATTCAGGTGGAAAAACACAATACTTTCACCAAATGACCGCAGAAATGTGCAGTTCATTTTTGGCAATAAACGATCGCAAAGGTGTATTAGCTATACAGCTGATTTGCTGATTGAGGGTTAATTATAAGAATATACCTCAGATATATATGCTCACACCATTAGAATGAGTCATTTTGGACACCCCCACTCCCAGCATTAATTCAAAGCAGTAACATAAAATTCCCCATTAATTTAAACCCATCATCACAATCAAAGAAAGTGGTGTGCGAATGTGTTTATCGAAGTGAAGACCTACAATAGAGACATTGGTTTCTCCTTTTCGATGTAATGGGACTGCTTTCACTTGAGTAATGTCAGTTCCTACAGAGTTATCCTACTAGATACAACGTGCAGTGCTCCAGATACAGATCTTCTGCGTGCAGGTGTATCTCTGTCTACCCTGTTAAAAAACCAGTCTGGTGCAGCTGATGAAATAAGCGAAATATCAAAGGATGATCGAATAAGATGGAACTCTGGAGCCGAATGCCAGGTCCCTAACTTGGTTATATTGTCCTTTATTTGTTTTTAAGTAGTTTTAGTGAAAACTTTGACTTTTATTCCCCCCCCCCCCCACAGAATAGGTTGTTGAGGCAGGAGGCATTTGTCATGAGACTGGAGGTGGTAATGAGCGTTTTATATAAGGTTGTTCATCCCCTGGCTCCATGCAGATTTATGACTCTGAACTGGCAGCTGAAGTTAAACCAATCAGGCCTTTTTGGAAGAGCAGCTGTATTAGGGAAAGCTGGAATTGAGGGAAATGTTTGTAGGAAGTTCACAAGATGTTTGGCTCTTTATTTTAACTATGTGAGTGTTTCTTTTACCCGGCAAATACATTGGGTATTATGAGAGACGTATTTTTCATGAAACCTATCTGACAGCCCAATCTTGCTTTATATTTGGCTTGTCATAACGACGTATAGAACACTTAACAATAATTGTGAAGGTTTTAGTGTCCATTGCAATTTGTTGAACGACTACTTGCTGTTCATATGCCCTGCCTTGGGCTCCAGATGCAACACCCAGCAACCAATGAGTGTGGCCCAGATCGCTATGGAGCCATCTCATTGGACAGCTGGCTGGACTTTGCCTTGCTTCTTGTTCAGTGGAGCTGTCCAAGGTGCTGAACCCATCACGCCCCCTGTGTTTTCTAGATACAGCCAAATGAAGCTTCATGAACCATTTTCTGTATTTCTGACTACACTCTTGGTTTGGTTTGGGGCATGAATTGAGCCCTTTTTTGAAAAGAGAGCACCATCTAGTGGTGTCGGAAAATACAGCAAATGGTTCATGGAGCTTCATTTGGCCATCAATAGTTGCCCTGACTAAGAACATCCGACTTACAGATTCATACTTACAAACTAACTGTCATAAAGCCTACTTTATGACACTCATGAAAACATTGCACGGCTTCAGCGATTCATTGGCTTGTGGTACTTACCTACAAATTTGACTTAAAGACATACTTAGGGAACGGATCTCGTTCATAACCTGAGGACTGCCTGTACTTGTCCTTAGTTTGCTGTCTTAGCAGAAGTATCCCTTTGCAACATTACAACCTTCGAGCTTCTGAGCACAGTACCCACACAGGTACAAGCCTCCTGCACCAGTAGGCTCCTTCTAACCAGCATCACTGGCTCCCCGTTGGAACATTCTGTGTATTTTAATGTATTATTCAACACTTTAATTAATTAGGCCCTGATTGTTGTGTGCTGTAGATATTGGCTGCATTTCAAGATTGTGCTCTACAGGAAGGAAACCTGTTAGCTAGCGAAAGCACCTCACCTATTGCATTGGCTGTCAGACTGGCACCTTTTATTTTGCAGCTTTTGACAGTTGTGGTGCATCTTACTGAAAAGAAACAAACACTGTTGTCTTCATAAGGAGGTCTGCTTTGTTAGCTCTTTAACAAAACAATGCTGAAGTCTCATAAATACTTGGACTAGTCACATACTTTAGGTGTGCGTGACTAACATACCAAGAAACTTGAGTAGGGTTTATTCTATGATTTCTTAGGTCCAGGGCAAAAGAGGTGCCATAATTCATACAGACCGGCCAATCATATCATTAGCTAATATGTTTTGAACTGGCTGGCAGAGGCGGCACTCCAGGAACCAATCAGCTCTCAGCTGGGGGCAGTGCCCCTGTGGCTCCGCCCCTGTACATGCCCCTGGATCATGGGTAGCTTGAAGTAGGATTGAGCAATATGAGTATAAAATGGAAGGAATGTACAAACGCAGTCATAAGATATGCTACAATGTTTTCACACTCCAGTATAAACCAGCAGTCTCAGTCAATTTACATAACCTAATTAATCTCCTCTTAGTCTGCTTAATTTCCACAGCTTTAATCCTCTGTGTTAAACCTTTAAAAGTGTTTTCGTGCAGGTATATGGCAAGGGATTTATTATATTCCTTAAAAAAACATACAATTATCAGATGTAACATAGTACACACATTTTCTCATACAAAAACACTTCCACGCTCAATTTTGCAGACAATTTTCATTTAGTCACAAATCATCACTGTTTTCCCTGAAGATCTGAAGATGTCTTGGAACAGCGTGATGAGAACAGTGATGTGATGCTGTTTTAAAAGAGTTTAATGGGCACGACCCACCATAAACCAGCCTTACCTGTCAGGAGGGAATTAAACCTTAAAGGGTTTTCTTGTAAAGATGGGTATTAAGGAGAGTGAGACATTCAGTGGAAAGTTTTTCTCTTGCCATTGTCCTAACACTTTTCATTTCATCCCTCTCTCAGGTGCTTACCCCTGTGTCCTGAGCTGCTTTGAGTTCCTTGCTAATCTCTCTCGAGGTGTTTAATCGTTGGGGATCTGTGTATGGGTATTCCCAACAGTGACAAAAATCACACTTGTCAGATCTTCATTTATTTATTTTTTAATGTGCCTACGCCTATCTGAGGTCACCTTATTTTTTGCCCGTATTGTGAGAATACCTGCTGTATTCCTTGGAAAAGCAAGAGAAATATGCCCAGAAACATGGTGAGTGGACAAAATCGGTGATGCCATCGAGAAGCTTAAAGACTCAGATAGAAACCAAACTGGGGTCAGCACTGACTTGACAGCACAATAAAAATTAATAAGCCATTTTGAGACCCTGAATATGAAACCTCATGATATTAGAGCTAATTCAATATCAATCACAAACACAACGATCAGTGTCGATCTTGTTTAAAATTTTGAGCCAGACATTCAGCTAAGTGGCTGTAACTTACTGGCCCTGGTGATGCATTTCAAAAGACAGAAACATCTGGTCCAACATGCATGTATCAGTCAATATGTTTCTGTCTTTCCTTCTTAGGATAGACTTATTGTATTACCTGCATTGACCTATGAGAACATCACACTTCATGCTGTGTGCATTTTTGCACTTTTTTTCTAAGACAACTTAAACATTATCCAGGCACTAGGAGGGAAATAACCAAGCAAATGTATTGGCAGCACAACAAGCAGGGATCATTTAATTTTGTGTATTTGTGTCATGGTGTGATTTGCTTACAGAAGATTTTTACATTGTTTATGTTTTGCGAGCAGGGTATGTGTTTCTCTCTGGAATGAATCTTGTTATCTAATTTGGCAGAAACACCCTGGGCTGGTGAGTCTATTTGCTGTTGTCAATAAGTTGAGAATTCAGCATGAAATATGCAGAGAATGTGAGAATTAGGAGCCTGCGCATATTTCGGGAGGTGTGAATGAGACTGTTCTGGAAGTGTAGAGAGACGGGTCACGCGGGATCCAGC